CCAGCCACAAGGCGGATGGCCGCTCATCTGACCTTCAGGATCCCAAGGGCTCACTGCTCCCCATACCCTGGCCCCAAACTTTGGCTCCTAGAAAATGTCTGCTGACTTGTCCACCTTACTGGCCCTGCCTCTTCCAACTTAATGAAACCTTAATCTCAGTGAACATCCCAGGTCAGCTCTGGAGCCAGAAAGCCCATCAAGAGCCCCTGTTTTGCCCTGTGTGGGCAGCAGGCTAGGAACAGGGAGCCACACACCAGAGTGGCCACAGAGCCCCCGCCACAGCGCCCAGGACCGCACAAAGCCTCACATTAGTTGGGGGGGGGGGGGCGGCAGGGGGGGCAGTGATGGGAAACTCCAGAATCCTGCTTGGCTTTGTGGGAGGCCCACGAGGCTTGAAGCCCCAGCCAGCGGGTCGCCCGCGGTCCCTCACACAGGCACACGTGCCCACTGAGGGGACGGAGGGCAGTCACTGGTGCTGTTTCTGATTAATTTATCAGAGGACAACATGCGCACAGCTTAGAGTCCAACCGTTCCAGAAGGCTCCAGCGAAGATCCCTGGCCCCCACCACACAGCCCGCCCACTCCCCACAGACGGCTTCCAGCCCACGCTGCCTTTTCTCCACGGCTCAAGTGCACTGCTTATTCCAGATCAACACTTACCTCCCCTTCCCCTGTCCTTTCAAAAACTTCTCAATGAAAACGTGCAGTGTTGGGGTGAATGCCACTATATAGCTTTGTTCTGCCCTCAGACATGACCATTTCACCTGGGAATAGCGCTCTAGGTTGAGAAACCAGTTCAGCTCCACAGTCTTCCAGGGTTGGCCCTTGGAACTCTCGAGCTCTTACAGTAACCTGGAGCATTTCCAGAGCCTCCCCTTCTCCAAAGGGTTCCGGGACAGGACAACGAGCTCTGGGGCGGGATTTTTTTTGGTCACTGTCCAAGGCACTTGGGAGTCCCTTTCAATCGAGAGGTTAATGTCTTCTGTGCTGAGATGGTCTTATATTCTTTGTTCATTTCCTTCCTTCAGTTTTGTCTGTTCTCTTCCTAGAATTCCTATTATTTGTCCTACCCTGAGCCTCCAGGATTAATCCTCAAATCTTCTCACCTTTTCTCTCTTCTCACCTCTCTTTTGTTTTTGGAATACTTCCTTGAAATGACCTTAAAATCTAAGCCTTCCTTTGAAGTTTTCTTTATTCTGGCTATTTTTCTTCTTAATTTCTAAAAAAACAGTCTGTTCTGATCTTATCTTAATCTGTTTTATCATTTTTATGGTATCCTGTTCTTTTTTTCAAGGATGGAAAAACTTTTCTTTGTATCTCACGGAGGACGCTGACATTCTCTTTTCTGTAAAGTCCTTCCCCAAGTTCCTTCTTGTCCCCATGGAGAGATATTCCCAAATGGCTGGTGATCGTGGCCTTCTGATCCTAGCAAGGCACTAAGAAGAGGCTGCCAGGAAGCACTCTGAGGGCCCAGGGCCCTCATCTGTCTCCCTCTGTAGGGTGACCCGGTGGGTGTCTGGCCAGGCAGCGGGATCCCAGGTGGCAAAGCTGTGGGACCCGGCTCTGGCACGTCCAGCCTCTCCTGAGCAGGGACGCCCCAGCCCCTGCTAGACCCACTGCCCACTCATGGCGCCCCATTTCAGGCTGGTGCCTCACCCTGCCCTGGGGCCCTAGGGCTGAAGCTTCCCTGGGTCAAATGCTCCAGCAGCTAACCATCAGGTCTCGTGCGTGGGTGGGCAAGGACGAGCATCTGGCTGACCAGCCAGTGATCGCTACATGATCCTGAAGAGTGGTCTTCAACCATCCCCTGGCCCTTGGCCTTCCCTGACCAGCCCTCCTGCCTCTCACCAGGACCCCTGTGTAGGCAGGCATGTGGCTTCTGATGCCTCCACGCTGTTGGTCACCACCCTCAACTCCCATTTCCCACCGTTCAAAGGGTGAGGTCTTCCTACCTTGTCCTCTAGGACTTTTTTCCCCTTTTTCTTTGTTCACGTTGCTTTATACTCTTGTGTCTAATCCCTCTACTGTTACTTTGGTAGTGTGAAGAGCAAACAGATAAAAGCGGGCTTAGCTACCAGTACTCCCATCTGCAACATTTAAGTCCTTTTTCTCCTTCTGTCCTCCCTCCAACTTTTCATCATGAAAGGTTCAAGCAGGGGCGCCTGGGTGGCTTAGTCAGTTGAGCTTCAGACTCTTGGTTTCAACTCAAGTCATGATGTCAGGGTTGTGAGATCAAGCCCCATATCGGGCTCCGCGCTCAGTGGGGAGTCTGCTTGAGATGCTCTCCCTCCCTCTGCCCCTCCCCCATGTTCTCTCTCTAAATAAATAAATCTTTAAAAAAAAAAAAAAGGGTTCGAGCACACAGGAAAGTTGGAAGAACATCCAATGAACACCCATATACTGTCTCACTTTTCTATGGGGGCGAATGACAGGACTTCCATAAATGAACCAGAGAGATTCTAGAATCCCAAGTTTCTCCAACGGATGATAACCTGCGACCTAAGGGCTTACAGACTGTACCACTGGCCGTGCCCTGCTTCCCCCAGAGCCTGTGAGGGGGAGTGTCTTCTGAAAACCCTAGGACAAGGAAAGGACCTGCGGTTTGGGGGTCCTAGAGGTCAGTGACTGCAAACTCAGGCTGGCGGCAGACCCGCTCAGCTGGTCCTCGTGGCACCTACCAAACAAGGTCTTTGCTTTTAAAATCGCTGAGTCACTGCACATGGTCTGCCCTCTGGAAGGCATTACTGGCTGTCCCTTGGGGCCCCTGCTCTGGGAACAGTCCCTTCTAGGCCGTTAGCATGAGTCACCCTAGCTGTCAATTCCTCATAAGAAAGGAAAATACCCGTTAACTCTAAAGTTTAATCAATTCCTCAAGTGGCTCTCCTCAACTGAAACTGCTTCAGAGGCATATTTACTGAAATTTTCCTTGTTGTTTTGGAGAGTTCTAGGCTCCTCCCCAGTTGGTACACAGCAATTCCCTCCACTTTGAAAGACCTGAAAAGGCCTTCACCCTTAGCCTACAACGCCCCTGAGCGCTGCCAAAATTACCCCCTCTGCCCTGAGTGGGGAATCCGGGTCAAGTTCTGAAACAGGCCACCGGCTCAGATGGGCCTCGGGATGGACAGCAAGTGGGACCCAGAGTCCCTGGCAAGCCTTCAAAACACATGGATCCCAGGCCCGACCCATGGCCAATTTACCAGAATCCAGAAGGTGGACCTGGGACTCTGCACGGTTCCAAGGTTCCCTACCTGAACCTAGACTGGGGTTCGGGACTTCCCAGCTTGTCTGGTTCGTTCTTTTAGCGAAGGACTTTGTTCTTCAGAATAATTTTAGTGAAATCTCCATACGTCAAAATTTATACCAAAAACAACCCATGTTGGGGATTCTGAGGCTCGGCCAACCTTGAGAACCACGATCCACTAGTAGCTTCCAAAGAGCCGCTTCCCGTTGCCCCCAAATCACAACTCTCATCACCACGTCTTGTGAGGCAGCTAGGGTTTAGCACTAGCTTATCTCCTGCTTATAACCTGATCGCCGCTCCACTTTTATCCTCCTAGAAGGCATTAAGAACCCGTTCTTTTCTCTTTCTCTCAAAGGCCTTTAAGTCCAAGCACGAAACTCCGCGGTACATGGTCTGAGGGGTTTCACGGGTCCCTGCTGAGCTGTGTCCTGGCCTGATGCAGCGGGAGCCGAAATGGCCTCAAGCTGAGGGCGACGGCGGGCCTGCCTCCCCGTCCCATCAGCATCCGTTCAGACAGTGGACACTTGCTGCCGCTGAAGTCACAAAGCGGAGCACACTTCCAGCCAGAGATCACGGATCCACTGTAGCCTTGGACCAGAAGTCACAGTCGTAGCGGACTCCCACCGTCCCCGTCAGGGCCAGCGGATACAGCAGGCGCCTTCTAAAGCCTTGGGCCAGTCCCACCACGAGGGGGGTACCCGCTGCGGTTCACCCACCCATCCAGTGACCTCACATCTGACCCGAGGCTACTGGAAACCCTCCATCACACCCGGCTCCCCAGCGCAGGCAAAAAGCTGGGCACTCAGGAAGCCCCCAGAAAGGTTGCGGTTGCAAAAAAACAGAAGGGAAGCAAAGAGAAATGGCCTCTCAGCTAACTACTCCCCCAAGTCCTTGAGTAAACCCCAGGGCTCACATTCAGGGGGGAAAGCAGACTGTCCTTTGTGGGAAGAGAAGTCAGAAGCCGACAGGCCAGCCCTGCAGCAGAGGCTACTGGGCTTATCCCAACCAAACACTCGCTGATTCCACTTCACTCTACAGGGAAAGCTCCAGAACGCGTCACGGAATTTAACTTTGAGCGGCCTGCGGTGCAGCGCATGGCAAAGGCCGGCCCCAAGGGCACGGCAGTCACCGTTCCTCCATGGTGACCCAGGGGGCAAGCCGCCCCCCAGCCACCCCCTCACCAAGTGATCGACACACTCCTGCTCTCGAAGGACAGAGGCCGCCACTTACCCAGAGGGCTCAGGGCGGCCGCCACACTCTCCCCTACGTTCTTGAGGAAATTCACACTGGGATCCTCCGATGGACCAGCAGCTTTGGTTTTCAAAAAAACAAAAACAAAAAATATTTGAGTCAAAGCAGGTTTCTCAATGACTTAGACACCTGTTATGATCCTATCACCTTTCCCACAGGTGCCCTCCACCCCCGGGGATCCTGTCCCAGCAGCCTTCCCGAACTCTCTCCCGCTGCGGGCCCCTGTGTGCCCCTGGTGCTCAGAAGCCCATGGGGGATTCGCTACATGCGGTGTACAATGCTGACCACGTTCTAGCTCAAACCACATCAGAATTAAACCAACATCCCCACCTTTGTTCCAAAGGAGGAGGTAAATCAGAGGACAGTTAAGTTAATAAAATCAGACTACAACCAGAATCCTAAATTCTGGAACACAAGCCATCTGTTTTTAACTTTGTGCCTGTGTTTCAAAATACTTGAGCAGGCCGGCTGGCTCAGTCAGTAGAGCATGTAACTCTTGAGCTCAGGGTCGTGAGTTCAAGCCCCACATTGGGTATAGAGCACATTTTTTAAAAAGAAAAAAAAAAAAAGCCTTGACAGGGGAGGGAGGTTTAGGGTTGAGCCACATCTGGGCCAAGCCTCGGTTTAGTGCGGGTGAATTAGCGGCCCTGGGCACTGAGGTGCCTCCGTCTTGCTGGGTGTGGCATGAGGATGATGCTCCCCACTTTGCAGGGTTTTGTGAGGACTACGCACCCTGAATGGCTGTGAAGCACCCTCACCTGATTCGGCTGCAGAGCCGGGGCGGGTGTCCCCTGCCCGGGGAGGACGTGGGCTCCAATTCCCTGGGGGGCCCATCTCCCAGCCGGGCCACACAAAGTGCCCGTGTTTCAGCTTCCGGAGCCAGCGGCTGTGAGCGACGCCCTGGGGAGGAGTGAGCAGAGGGGCCGGGTGACACCAGAGCAAGGGGCTCCTTCCTCCCGGACCCCTGCCCGCTCCGTGCTCCCCCCAGCCTCACCTCGGAGAAGGGCCCGAAGGGGCCGGGGAAGACGAGCTTGCTGTGCTCGCGGTGCAGGCCCTTCCCCTCGCAGGCGGAGCACAGGTCGTAGTCCGGGCAGACGCTGCACTTGTAGCGGGTTCCCACCACTGGCCCATTGCACCCGTCACAGATCACGCCGGGGTACACCAGGCCGCGGGGCACCTCCTGAGCACACGGGGGGCGGTGGTCCCGCCGACACTCCTTCTTCTCTGCAGGTGGGACCCCACACGAACCGCTCGTCACGACTGGGGGGCTTTCAGTCAGTGGGCCCCTGGCCCTGCCCTCCAGACCTGGAGTCCGTGCACAACCCAGCTGTTCAAGTGACAGCAACAGGGGACCCAAGAAGCTGCCAGGAGGGTCCCAGTCCCTGTGCCTGGTACAGTACATGGGGCCCAGGCAAGTGAGAAGAGGCAGGGAGCTGTGTCTGCATTGCTGGGGCCCTGCCCCCCGTTAAAATAAACCCCACTGCATCCCCAAAGCCGCCCCCAGCCCCCGGCCCCCGGCCCTTGACAGAGTGAACCCAGAGGTCCCCAGGCCCCACCCCTTCGGGACTCCTCTCTCAGGCCAAGCACAGAGATGATGAAGTCTCGGTCTTAACCCACAGGCTCTTGCCTGCTCCTTGGAGGGGACTGCTCAATAACCTCAAGCAGGTTTCACACAGCAAGAAGCACCCGGCAGCGCCCAGAACAGACCTTTACCTTTAATGTAAATACGGAAGAGGTCCTCCTTCACGTAGGACATTGCCATGGTCAGTTCCTCGTCACTAGAAAAGGCCACCAAGTCTCCATCCTCATCTAGATTGTTTACAAGACTGCATGTGAGTACCCGAGCCTTCTCAGTCAGATACAAGCTGCTGAGAAGGGCGCAGGCTGAGCTAGAGGGGCATCTGCTCGCCTAGGAACTGACGCACACCTGTGTGAGCCAGGGGGCGCGGAGGCCAGACCGCCCATCCTCTGTAACACCGCCTGGAAGGTAAGCACTTGGACGTGGGGCCCGGGCGCCCACGGGAGGCAGAACATGCAGGGCGCCGCTCCTGTAGCTGAGCCAGCTGCCCCTTAAGCCGGTGCTGCCTCGGTCCACGTCTGACCAGGCCGAGACCCACCTTCAACTGTAGGAGATCCCCACCTGTGACCGGCTCCTGGGGGCCCAGACCCTCCAAAGGCCGTGGGCCTCCTGTGGTTTAGGAGAGTCAAGGAGATGAGTACATCTGCCTGCTTCCGCCCCCAGTGAAGCTACAGTATTTGTATGAACTCTCTGACTTTTAGATTTAGCAAATGGTGTGAAAGTCCCACCGTGCAGGCCAAACCACCCCCTACACCTGCAGGCTGCACCAGCTGTGGGCCACCGGAGGCAACATCCACCGGAAGAACAGGGGAGGCGTCAAAAGGTGATAACCCAAACACCCATCCACTAAGGAGTGGAAAAACAAAACGGGGTATGTCCACAAAATGGAATGTTACTCAACCACAAAAAGGCATGAAGTCCGGACACAAGCTGCAACACAGCTAAACCTTGGAAATGTTATGCCGAGTACAAGAAGCCGGTTACAAAAGAATAGGAAAGTGTAGGGCTCCGTGTCTATGTTTATAGGAAATGTCCAGAATAAGGAAATCCATGGAGAAAGAGATTAGCGGCTGCTTAGAGCTAAAGGGGACGAGGAGAGAGCTCAACCGTAGAGTTCCTCTCGCAGGTGATGCAAAGGTTCTAAACCCGTGAGGAGGATGGTTGCACAAGTCGCTCAAAACTGTTCACGTGAAATGGGTGAACTGCACGGGAAGTGGAGGATAGCTCCATAAAGTTGTCACAAAAACCAACCAACCAGGAACGGATCTGGCCAGTTGGCAGTGCTCCTAAGGGTGGGCCCGGCACTGCCCCTCCCAGGGGCCGGCCTTGGCTCCCGCCCCCCCGCGCCCCGC